ATTTGTCTGTCTTGATCTGCATGTCGTCCTGATCAAAAATACCTATACTTTATGGGCTCTGCCACGCCTCCTTCAGCCTGTTACATACATTTTAACAAAACCATTATACCCTGATTTCCCATCTGCGATGGGTTCAGGGTATAAAAACAAATTGTGGCCAGAGTCGTTTTTCAAAAGAGAACAACGAAAAAACTTGAGAGTGTGAGAGTGAATGAAACCATAGCAAATTGGTTTGCAACACTTGGCCATGACCGTGGTTAGAGCCAAGTGTTCTCTGCTTTGCCAATGCTGCTGATGGCTGTTTGAAACGGCGCAACAGGCTCCTGCCCCTGTTTTGGCTATATTCAAATAATGTTTTTCTTCCAAAACGCTGCACATTGAAAATTTGTCTAACAATGGCTATGATGGCCAGCTGGAGTGCCGTCACTTCACATTACTGATCAAAAAAGAACTTAAAACTTTATGAGACCAAAGCACTTCATCTTCTGGATGAGCACCAAATGGCTGGAGTCGCTGAGTCAACCAATGCATATTAGTCATTCAGATATGTTGACCAGCTCATTCGAGCTTGGAGTGGACTGACATTCAACTTAAGACGATTGGAGTTCGAGCGGCCCAGCAAACAGTGAATAGTTATATATTTACTCGTCTTACTTTAGAGTTCTCTATTTCTGTTCTTGATATCTCTTTCTTAACTCACTTTTCTTTTAAGCGTTTAAGTTTTGTCTGTAATATCTCTTGCCTTATTCACAATTTGCATACGTAGACTGGACTCAATTTGGTTTGGGTATAAGAACTTGCATCGAATGGTCTTATACTCACATTCGTATACTCGTCGACCTTCTGCCATTCCATATGTTCTGTATGCAAAACAACTTTTTTCTATATTATTTTCACTGAGTTTAATAGAAATTCAAAATTCATTATTGCAGCAAAGAAAAAATCCAAATTTTTGTTTTTTCTTGCACGTGATTGTTTTTTCATATTTAATTACAAACTAACAGTAATTGGAATATAAAAAATTAATAAATATGCGAATATTTTAAATATATACAAAAAATGTATACACAATATTTATATATATATATATATATATATATATATATTTATATATATATTTACTTCAATTTAATCAAATATAATATTTAGTAAATATATATAAATATATTTCACACAATATGTATAAAATAAATAAAATATATAAATAAATAAAGTAAACTAATTAAATATTTAAATAAAATATATATAAACAAAAATATATAAAATAAAGAAATAAATATAAATGAATATAAATAAATAAATATAAATATATAGAAATACTGGAAATTTAGTTGTAATTATTTTTTAATTTAATTCAATATGCTTTACAAACGATTTCAAGCTACAAATAAGCGTATTTAATTATATGAAATATAAGAGATAAAAAAATGTATAAATAAACATACCTTGATTAATGTAAGGTTGCTAGGTGCACGAGCTGCAAAAACCTTTGTTGTTTATCCTATTGTTCCCCCTTTTCTACGGCATATTATGTGCGCATTTTATTTTTTAGAAAACTTTCGGGGCAGCAGCTATGCGTGTTGAGGATGGAGAAAATTATGGTTTGTTGTGGTTATTGTGGCAGCCGCTTATCGCAGTTTTTTTTTGGCTGTTCGTTTTTTTTTTATAAACTAACTAGTTATGCAATTATTTTTGAAATTCTTTTCATTTTGTGCCATAATGTTTGCACAAATTTTTTAATTTAGTTACAACATGAATTTTAACCCCATCGAAATTGTGTTGGTCTGGCTTGGCAGACAGAAAAATGTATCCTGAAAGTGCTTGATGAAAAATGTCGAATATTTCGCTTTAGTTTTGTCACAGCAACAATAAAAGCCAGGAGCAAATTTTAACTTCCACTATTAAATACTCTGCCAAAAGCTTTATATGTTTTACCAGCAATACAGTGCATTAGAGCTAATGTAAAGCGAAATTTCCAGGAAATGAAGTGGCTTTTTGAAAATCGACAGGATATAATCGGATGTCTTCAAGTATTTGTCAAGTATTTCTCGTTAAGTTCCAATTTCCAATTTCCAATTTCCAATTTCCAATTTACAATCTGGAAGAGGTAGAACGCCAAAAAGTCATAAAATCAATTGCTGCAGCTCGCGTTGCAGCAACTTCCATTCGCTAAGTTTTTGTTGCTGATGCAGCTGGCATTGCTGGTGTTGTTTGAGAGGTCTTTGTTGTCTGCAGTTGTTGAAAGTATGCTTTGTGCATGTCTGTCTCAGCAGCTGTCTGCTGCTGAGTGATCACAGCCGGCGGCCGTTGCTTTGTTTAGTGGCCGTCAGCAGCTGCAATTTGATTTAGCAGCCAAATAGCCAAGCAAGCGAAGGGCTTAAACGTTTGCCAGAACACCTCGGACGAACAACCCACTAGACGACAGCTTAAGCAGCTTAAAGCTAATGCAGCTGCCGTCTTCAAACGTCGACAAGTGCATAAAATAAATGGCAACATCTACGGAAATGTAAACGGAGCAACATCAACAGCTACAGCAACGGCAACAGCATCGCCAATTGCAACAAGGCAACAATGCGCTATGAAGGACACAGGATGCTTTTGAGGATGCTAGGCAAGCGTCTGCTGTGCGGCGCTAAGTAGAACTGTTGTCATGTAAAGCTGTTTCTCACTTTCTTATCCGCCACGGCTCACTCTTGATTTACAATCACAGCATTCATTTTAAATGGCTAAGGACCTTGTAATGCTAGCACAGTGTTTGAGCTTGTTGGCCAGGCTAAACTCCTTATCTATCCATTGACATTATAATCAACTTTAAAGATAAATAAATTTTGAAAGCCCTTTTAAAAAATGTCAATCATGTATAAAAGATGACAATGACAATGACAATGACAATGACAATGACAATGACAATGACAATGACAATGACAATGACAATGACAATGACATGACAATGACAATGACAATGACAATGACAATGACAATGACAATGACAATGACAATGACAATGACAATGACAATGACAATGACAATGACAATGACAATGACAATGACAATGACAATGACAATGACAATGACAATGACAATGACAATGACAATGACAATGACAATGACAATGACAATGACAATGACAATGACAATGAATGACAATGACAATGACAATGACAATGACAATGACAATGACAATGACAATGACAAATGACAATGACAATGACAATGACAATGACAATGACAATGACAATGACAATGACATGACAATGACAATGACAATGACAATGACAATGACAATGAATGACAATGACAATGACAATGACAAAGACAATGACAATGACAATGACAATGACAATGACAATGACAATGACAATGACAATGACAATGACAATGACAATGACAATGACAATGACAATGACAATGACAATGACAATGACTTTGTATTCCTTATTATTTTGGCCATCATCCTTGCTAGTCCTGTGAGAGTATCCTGTTGCTATGCTTGCGCTTATTGGTCTAAGCAAAAGTTTTCAGATTAAAATTAAATGAGCGTGTGTTATGTTTCATGTAAAGTTTTTTAATTATACGCTGGTAGCTCTCGGTACTGCGCAAGTATATTAAAACCAATTGGAAAAAGTTCCAGGGACAGTGAGAGTGTGTGTAATAAAATAGAGGAGCTCACAAGCAATCCAATGACAAATGTCCAGCAATTGTGCTGCAATCGATGCTCCAATTACATGTGTATCCAATTACATTGGGTAATAATTTCCACTGATTGGGCTAAACTTAATTCAGACTTACTTAGCTTGAGCTAAACATTTGATAGTATCAACAGTCTTAAGTAAATTATATATCGCTTAAATATTAAACAGACTTAATTAACAGCATATGGTTGCCAGTTGATTCCCTTGATGGTTGAATTAATTTCAAATTGAAATTTATCAATTATTATTATTGTCGACCGAGCAAAAAGGAATTACGTTTGACTGAAATGCTAATCCCCGCTGTCATTCAACTGCAGCTGTTATCGAGTTATTTAATAATGCTCAATATATTCCGAAATATGCCACATATAAAAGCCAATTGACAATTGTTTAAGCAAGCTCACATTGGTTTAACCACATACTTCATGTATATACTATATATACTATTTATCATATATTTAATCTAGCATTGTGGACAGTCGCAACGGTTAAGGACAATGCCAAATTCGATTCTGCTGAAAGCTGAAAAATTGTGCAATAAATCCTTTCTATCTCAGCAACTTTCAAATTATTTCTAAAATATGTGCAAATTAGTGCTAAATGTGTTTTGTTTTACAGCCAGCTAAAACACAAAATTACTTACTTAAATTTATTTTAATTTAGAAATCAGAGTGCAAATTTGGGAGCACAGTTTTCGTTAGTTACAAACAAAATTTTTGTAATTAGTTTCAGCTTCTGCATAAGCAATTCCACTTCATATTGATTGAGGTGCAACTAGATTGCTGTCCCTACTAAATCTCGTAGTTAGCCGTGGTCGACTAGTTCGCCGGGCCAACCATAAACATTAATTACTTTCGTAGTCGAAAACTGTCAACGGCATTGGCAATCAACTGGCAAATTATTGGCAGGCAGTTGCTGGTAGCCTCGCCGATAAGTTGGCCTAGTCCACAATATAAATACTTTGTCTGATTTATGCCAGCGACCCAGCTCAACGGGCCAACTACGAACACCCACTGAGCACATAACTAACAAAAATTGCTGACACCAAATTTACTGTCCGCACTCGCCAGCGCCCCTCGAGCTCGTTCAACTGCTGATGATTTGGTGTAACTACTTCAAAATATTGTGTTGTTTAATGCCTTTAATGTGTTTTCCGATTGGGGTCTATCGCCACTAGCAATATAATATATGGGATCGACTGACACTATTCGGAAGTAACTGACTTATTATGGTTTGAATAGACATTTCTCCCAAAATACGAATTTTTAATAAAATCATAATTTATAAATAACAAATTAAAAGTAGTAATCCCAGCTTTTCACATATGTTTAAAGCGGTCTGGTTAGATGTTCAACTGTTTGCTGAGGCATCCAATAAGTTTCCACTTTGTATTGACAACAGCCTTACATATAGGGGCAGGACTCGTGGGCGTTTAGGTTGAAGTAGGTTCATGGGAGATATATATATATATATATCTTTGTTATCGGACCACTTCGGTTAGCCCATTCCATGCGCATGCCCACCATTAAAATGACAAGTAATCCATTTCTCATCGAATGGAATTGATTTTAAAGTGACATTTCATAAGTAGGGCTGCCGCCTGGAAAGAAATAAATAATAAATAATTAAACTTGAAAGTATTCTGCAGTTGATGGCAAGATATTTGCGTTAGCTGAGGTCAGACTTAAGTTCTGTGCGACGCACATAAAGATTAAATGGTCTGTAATGTACACTTCATTAAGCCCTGAAGTCCTAAACTGAATCGCTTTCGGCGTCTGTAACTGAAATGCTTGCTCCTTGTCTATACTCTAATTTCAATTTAAGTCCGCCTGGGGTAACGAACAGCAAAAACTACTCAATCGCTTGGCTCTTTGCACCTTTTCTTCTGCACTTCCTTTCGCATAAAGATGGTTATGACTGGCTAAGCCAACCCTCTCCCTCTCTCTTCTCTGTTTCTCTTTCTGGTTAGCCTTGCTTGATATTACTTTCGAGCTACCTAGTTTTATAGGGTTTGCTGCGAGTTGTTGTCGCTCGGACTACTTTTTGTGTAAGTGAAATGATTTTCCTTCCGGTTGTGCAGCACTTTTGCCATGTAGATGGTATGTAAATATTTAAGGTTCTTTTTTTGCTGGCACAGACAATGAGAAAACTATGAGACTGCGAGCTTTTTTCTACTCTACTGACAGTGCAAATAATGCGAGTGCCCTGAAGCGTGTAAATGATGGCACGGACACCGAGACGGTCTCGGGAATGGGGCATTCAACTTGCTGATGGTGCATTGGTATATATTGTGCTATTGTCACAGTGTAACCCGCTCGCCTGTCCTCTTCTCTGCCAGGAGAAGTCTATGCCGAAAAACTTTCAATTGCTAAATCGATTTCGATGGATAGTCAAATACGGTTAGTACTTACCAGAACAATGTGGGCTGGGGTTTGTCGTCGTGTTGGACAGATTAAAATTTAAGAAAGAAAATTGTATGCAAAATTTGGATAGAGTTTGCCAAACAATGTATTAATTTTAATTCATCTGTTATGTGACATGAAGTCAGTCCAATGTGACTGGTTCTTGATTTTTCAGCTTACGCAGGGCTTCCTCCATTTCCAATACGTTTTTCAGCTCAAAATCTGGTGTATTTCGTTCAGCCTGCGGCACGGTATTGGATTGATGTGCACGTGCCAGAGCCAGGAGCGTCGCTCGCGGCTGTAGCAACTCATATACCATCTCGGCCATCAATTTGAAGAGCGTCTGGGCGCGCAGTGTGACCATAACGGTTCGAAGGAATTCGGTTACTGGCTTTGGCATTATAGTTAGCTGAAGAGCATTATCAATGTAGCAAATATTCGGTTTGACTCTTGGAAATAGCTCGGAAAATATGGTTAGCTGCTTGCATAGCAGACCCAACGATAGAATGAACTCGTTTCGATCATCGAACATGTAGCACTCGAGGCGACAGCGCGGATCGATCGTTGGCGATTTGCCGTTCCAGTAGGTCTCCGCTCTAGCAAACATCTTGATCTCCAGCAGCTCTGCAATTCTGAAGAAGCGCAACAGCTGCCTGTTCTGTGGTATTGGTCGTGAATTGATCTTATCGACGAGCTTTCCCAAGTTCTCAAAAGCCTGCTTGGCCGTCATACGCCTTAGCTTCTTCTTCAGGTGCTCGTGGGCACGCTTTGAAAAGTTAGGTGGCACTCTTACCGGTTCCATAATCCGTTCGAATTCAGATGATTTGGCATTTACGATTGACTGCGATGTTTCGAACTTCACGCTGGACCCATCGTCGGACAGAGGAATATCGCCATCGGATTCGCGCAGAGGATGCACCTTCCATAAAACCTTAATGCCATCCTTAAATTCAACGGATGGCTTTTTCTGTAGGACTCGAGCTCGAGTTGGCTTTGGCACATCATCGAAAACTACTCGGCGCTTTGAGTTCGGACTTGGTAGGCCAACCCACTGGCGTTCGCGTTGACTCAGCTTAGCCTTTTCGATCTCATGCATATACATCTTTCGCTTGGGTAGGACGTTCGGCTCACAGCTATTATTGCCAAGCTCTTGCATTGATCTGCCGCTCATTCTTAAATTCGCACGTCCTACAGCTGAGGGTGGTGGAGCATCTAAGCAGCCCAGTTCAACCTGCTTACGGGTATTGTTGCGTGTCTCCTTGTCATGATTTCTTGTCCTGGGCGTTGCCTCAAGGTCTCTCATGCTGTCGATCTCATCTAGTTCTAGATCCATGTCGATTCCCATGTATTCGTTGTGCCATGAACCATACGAAGAAAGGAAGCTGTCTGCAATCGAGACAGAGCTTTCGACATCTTTCAATGCTGGAATCGAATTAGACCATGTGTCCCCGGCTGGCGACTGCGCCTCATGTGTCATATAATTGATATTGTCTACAATTTCGTTACATATGCTCGCATTCGGAGTTTCAAACTCAATGTTGCTGCTGCGAATAGAGAGATTCGAATCGACGCATGTCGGCACTAGACTACTGCTCAGAGAAGTTTGACTGTCGCTCATGACTATCGAACTTTGAGGAGGAGATTCGACTGTAAGATTGGAGCCATTCTTTAGAAGGACTCTACATATTGTATTGCTGCTGTCCTGAGTTATGGGCATATTCGATCGAGCTTTCATCAAAGTTGTTATCTTTAGATCGCTGCTTTCCCTATATTTCGGACAGACTTTTCTGGGGCTTTCCGCTGAATTGAGACGATGCGTCGCAAACAGGTTCGAATAGGTGCGATTCTTAAATAGGTTTCGATGATCACAACGGCATTTGTCGCTTGTGCCGAGCGAATGACAGCGGCTTTCTATAGCAATTTTCTTCTTTGAATACTCAATATCCTCGCCGTTTCCCATTGCCACAAATGAATTGGAATAACTACTCCTAGCTGCCTGACTGCGATGTTTCGTCAAATTGGCTAAGCTGTTACTCTTCACTATACCAGGCCGTCCGCTAACAGTATTTTTGCAAAGTAACCTCTGTTCGGCATTGACGTAGCTTTTCGGTGAAGCCGTACGGCTTCTCACCGGTGACTTTGGTCGGAGGCCGTACTTTCCTTTCATTGAATAGGATCGAATGTCTGTCATCATCCTTGGACGCAAATCGATGGTGGCATCCTTCGGCATCTCATTATTCTTGTCGACGCTAGCTGTCGAGTTGGTATGGTAGCCTGGCTGAGCACGACTCTTGCCCCCCGAGTTAGCAGAAGCCTTCAACATTATGTTATTCTCCGAGGGAGCACGCGCAATGGGTTTGACATTGCGACTGTCGACGCTGACCTGGAGCTGAGTCCGTGCTCTTCCTGACTTAAACAGACCTTTGTGCCTATTAACGAAGCTGGGAGAGTGCAAGCTCATCTCCATATGTGGGTTTGGCCTGGCAATTGTATTGCTCTTATTTAGCTCTAATGCGGTATGCGCTTTCATTAACGTTTTCGATGTTCGATTGTAATTGAATTTACCGTCCACTGTTGGCTTTAGCTTATCCAAATTGCCGTTGTCCGCCGTATCAATGCTAGGTGACCGAGATGTTAAGCCTCTGGATCGTATATTACTTTGAGCTACGGAAGAGGAACGCGGTCTTGCCTGGTATGTCTTAGCTGTATGCAATTCAGATTCTGGCGGCTCTTGGCGCCGTGCTGCCTTGATAGCCTTTTTTTTCGAGATTGGCTGCTCTTTGCGCGGCTTAAATCGGCGATAGTACAGCTCCACTTCCTTTCCGTTATAGTACGTTCTGATGGGCTTAGCTGGTCGATGCTGCAGCACATCAAAGATCCGGTTTCGAATTTCTGTCTTTTTAAAAGCGTCCTCTAGCTGGAGGTAGGTCGAGCAGTATATTATATTGTAGCTATCGGGTCTCTGGGTATATACAATGAGATCCTTTTCGTCGTTGGTTAGGCTTGTTACGCCTAGATGCCGCTCTCCGTCAATTGCATAGCCGTGCACGATGTACTTATCCGATATTTCCTCTGTTGGTGTTATCACAAGCAATAAGTTTTGCAGGTTCAGAATGCCGAATATCTTGTTCAGAACGCTATCAGCATTAGGTTCCGATTTGCAGCCGCTGGTTAACTGTGGCCTTACAAAACGTTTCGTCACCTCAAACGGACGAACCCTGACCACCCTGGTTACATATCGACCGGGAAATGTTACGGTATCGATCCTATCAAGTATTCCTGTATCAGACGATATTACTTTAGCGCTGCATCCAGCCGCAGATGCTTCGCTATAGATCATTCCCAAAATTTCCTCAACTTCTGGCCGGGCTTTCATTTGATTTCCTCGTCGGCTACCAGCCCTGAGGGGATTCGGACGTTCTTCATCCGTGATCATTTTAATAAAAATAATAGTGTTATTGACTTTTGAGAGCCGAAACAAAAAAGTGTAAAAGAAAAAAAAAATGAAAGTTAAGATGTTTTAGTGTTTCTTTTTGAATCGAAAAATTTTGGAAAATTAAAATTCGTCCGACTCGTGTCAGTAACAAGTTAAAATATAACATTTCCAGATGGGTATGCCCCCCTCCTAAATTTTGTAGTGACATAAGTCTCATGGACTGGCTTGTCGAGCATGTTTTTGCTCTGGAGGAGAATTAGTTTCGTTACGTTAAAGGAACACAGGACTTACAGAAAAAACTTCAGACTAAACAGTACATTTCTATGCGAATAAGAATATTTGTTTCGGTGGAATCGATTGTTGTTGAACTACTAAGTATCGTTATTCGCATTTGAACTATCGAGGAGTTTGGCCCCTTAGTTCTCCGTAACAATTTCCGTCATGTGGATGTAATCATATTGTTTATAGTTTATTCGTATAACTCTCTTTTCGGTTCTCGGTTTTTGGTTTTCGGTTTTTGGCTTTCGGTTAGCTACTGCTAAATGGAAGCACGTCGCCTCGAGCGACAACGGCGGGACTCGGCCAAGAGCAGTGCAGTCGAAACGCTGCCATCGACACAGGACGAGGAGTTCCATTTGCGGCTCATCGATCTATATGGCAAGTATCCATGCCTGTGGAAAACATCGATCAGTGAATACGAAGATGCGGAACTGAAGCGTCAGGCCTGGCAAGAAATTAGCAACCAGCTGGGCGCCCACCTGTCGCCCTCGTTTGTGCGCAGTCGGATTAGCAGCATGCGCTACCGTCTCAACGTGTACAAGCTGCAAATGATTGAGTACAAGATGAGTCCAGCCAGCGGCAAGCAGCCGGAGAAGCTCTACTATATCGACAGGTTTGGCTTTCTGGACGAGGCAAGTGGTTCGCAGCAGCAACAGGAGCAGGAACAATCGGACAACGAGCAGGCGCACGATAGAAAGAAGTTGAAGGAGCAGAAGTCTAGCATTGCCAGCATATTCAAGCAGCGCATGCAGCAGCAACAGCAGCAGGCAGAACAGCTGCCGAGTGTGCTGCAACGTCTCAGCCAGAGCGATCGTCCCAGTGCCGGCATCAAGGAGTTGCCGGAAAGCAACTTTGATGACTATTCGGACTTCAGCATTGCCAGCATTGTCAAGAAGCGAACGGCTCCACAGGGCGCAATGCAGAAGAGTATGATACGTCCGATCTCAGACTCTAAATTGGTCGACCGTCGCAAGCAATCCATTGGCGATGAGATGCTCGGCGCGACTGCCACATCGGCCCTTGTTGCTCAGGGTCAAAATCCAGATATTGACAATATGCTCAAGCAGCGAATGCATCGACTAGGCATGGTCGAATTGGGCAAAGAGTCGGCAGCTGAAAGCCTCGACAGCCTTGGCGACTTTCGCAGTTCACTCATCAATATACCCAGCGTAGTCAAGAAGCGCATGCGTCAGCAGCTGCAGATCGGCCTGACACGCGGCTGGTTTGAGGAGCAGAGCAGCAGCACTAAGCCGGAATCCCATATCAGCATATCTACGACTGTGACGGCACTCCGTGCAATGCCCGGCGATTCAGTGTCTAAAACGAAGGTGGCCAAGATGTCGCACACACCGAAGCCAGCGCGAAGCAACGACGACCCAATGTCCGACGAGGAAGAGTTTTATCGCCTACATTGGGCGCTGCGCCAGCAGCAGCGCTCCCGTCGCTCAGGCGGCAAGTCGCCTCTGCGGGACCTAATGCCGCAGCCGGTGCCGCCACTACTGCTCGGCCTCCGCACCACTTCCAGTAGCAACATGGAGAGCGTACATGATAGCAAAGTGTAGTCATGCAGCGACTTCTACATAGACTATAACTCGTCAGAGCACATTGCACCATCTTCACCATCTTCACCATTAATTTTAAATTTTAAAATATGATTACCAGTACCAATCGTTCCAGGAAGCTTAGCTGATATTCACATAATATTGACATCTACAACAGTTAGATTTTACTACCAAATCAAATCCGTTGGGACAAGCAATCCAACTTAAATAAACATAGAGATCACAGAGTTGCGATGTCTTTTTATTGAATCAACTTTCATAATTGAGACTTGATTGGTTTAAGGGTCAAATTCCTTTACCAGCAAAGTTTGCATTGCTCGGTTGCAATTTTCATTCATATCTAAAATCTTAAGGCAAATATTTTCTACTAAATATTCTAGCTGCTTAGACTTATAATTCGATTGCTGCCTAAGACAGCTCAACATGTTCTCTTTCACGCTTAAATATGCAAGTCAATTGGGATTAATTACAAACATTTTCAGAGGCAAAACCTTTATTGAAGTTGAATATTTTCTGGTAGATTTTCTGGCTTTAATCGCGGTGAAATGGTATGCGTTCATATGGACGGACGGACGGAAGGAGACGGACGAATGCGACGGATGGGCGGATCGGCAGATGGACACAGACGGGCGAATGGATGGATGAATGGACGGACGGGCGGGCAGAGGGACAGAAGGACGAATGGAAGGACGGATGGACGTATAAATGAAAGGATGGACGGATGGATGCATGGATGCATGGATGAACGGAAGGACGGAGGATCAGACGGAGCGGAGGGACGGTCGGAGGGGACAGGCACGGACGAAAGGAGGTAGGGACGGATAGCACAAAACCAATATACATTCAACCTTGCAAATGAGTGCAATACGAGTTGAACTGCTTTACCTACCACATGGCCAGTCCTTCGCTGTTTATGAAAGCCACGCAAGTCTCTAACTGCTTTAAATCGAATGGAAACAAAGCTAGGGTATTTGAAAGGTCAGCATATATAATTTGCTTTACAAGCAGCATTCAATTTTAATAAATAACTTTAAAGTTTCGTTTAGTCGGTTTGATTAACTGCCTAGGTACGAAACGATTGAGCAGTTTCTGCGAATCAGTTCCTCAGAATCTGTGCTTCTAGTCAACTTTGAAGGCATTTGCTGTGTGCGTCAAGATGTGCTCTTTAAACAGGCGCAAATGTTGGGCTGCCGAAGTTCTTTGCTTTATTTTATTTTTTCGTCTATACAAACGAAATTTGGTCTTCCGCTTTGTGGCCGCCGCTACCTTTGCTTGAATATTCCGTTACGCTCTGGCAGCCATTTGCTGTCTTTGTTGCACGCATAAATTGGCAAAATTTTAATTTTCCACTAGATTTGCGTGGATTTTTGGCTCGTGTTTTGTTTGCTCTGTGCCCTTTTCAGTTTTGCTTTGATTTTTACACGCGGCATTTCGTCTCTGTTTCTCTGTCACTCTCTCTCTCTCTCTCTCTGTGTGTGTGTGTGCTTGTGTGCGTGTGTTTATATAAGCATACCAAGACGATGGACGAGAATTTTTGTATCTGTTGTCGTGTTTGTTATTTTTCCTTATGCATTGTGGTGCAAGCTTCGCTTGAATTCGCATCGTTATCAACTTCCTTCTTGGCCAAGTGGCTTAACTGCGACATTTGCTATTGCTCGCTCGCCTTGAAAGGGGTGGTAGGGGCTACGTGGCGTATGCTGAATATTCATGAGCTCTTCAACCGACAGCGCATCGAGCACCGCTCAGACACCCAGTGGGAATCGCCGGCCAAACGAGCTGTCATTGTTCGGAGAGCAGCATGAACCACAAGTTGATCGAACCAAATACCATTATATCGTCTGTTTATTTGCATTTGACGCACCACTGCCCCTCATCCCTCGGTCCCATTAGCCGTCGGTTCTGCCTGGCTCTCGAACTATTCGGCGGCTTATTGCACTCATCAAACACGAGTGAATGTCAAAAATGCGTATCTCATTCTTAATTTAAGCAGGCGACGTGCTCATTCACGATTTGATTAATTCCAATACGCTGCCAAATGAAATGGAAAGACTGGCTGCGGGCTTCAGACTGTTGGCTAGAGGCTGCAGTAGCTGCTCTCAACTCGGTCATGATTTATGAATGAGATAAAAAGTCTCAATGGTAAAACTTTTGCCTTCCTCCCATAGCCGTTGCCGTCGAATTATTTTTAGTCCAGACCATGGAGAGGGGGTGGAGGGGGTGGAGGGGGTGGTGGTGGTGGTGGTGATGGGGTGGCGCGGTTGGGCTTGGGGCGCAATAAATTACAGTTGGCGCTGGAAAATGATGCCGCGTGGCAGGCATCAGTGGCCGCCCAGCCAAATGTTAAATGGGCTCATTAGAAGCGGCAAAATCAAATCAAATTGCCACCAAGCGAAGCCAGTTGCAAATGTGGCACCATGTTGAGCCTATAGCTCAGCGCTCGCTAACAGATTGGGATTCCAAATGCAAAAGATGGCTTCGCATGATGCCTGTAAATTTTATGTGTAACGGGAATAATGCTTTGACAACCGAGAAGATTAAGGATAATTATACTTAATATGCAACTCAACAATTTGAATGCCAATTTGGCTGCCAGTTAATTGGTACGATGTGTTTTTTTTTCTGTTCTTTTTTCTGCTATTATTGCGGGACTTGGTCGTTGTTGTTGTCATTGTTGTTGTTGTTGTTGTTGTAGTGGTTGTTGTTGTTGTTGTTGAAGTAGTGGTTGTTGTTGTTGTTGTTGTTATTAATACTAAATGTTTTGGTTGCTGTTGTACACTTAGTTGCGGTCGAGCACGCGCAGCTGCTCCTCGACACACTCGCGGCATGCCTCGTCCAATTCGGTGGCCTGTATATATTTCTGAACGCCATTGAACTCCTTTTTAAGTGCAGCAAATGAGCTGGAGTAGAGCATTTTGTCCTTGATCTTGGCCTGCATCGGGCACCAGAGCATCAGAAAGAGCTTCTCCTTCAAGCAGGTGGACGAGGCGCCCTGGCACTGATGATGGTAGGCATAATCGTAGACCGCATAGCGGCACTCCTCCGGCCCGCCTTTGCGCAGATCCTCAAGGAAATCATCATAGCTGGCATTGCGAGGGCCGACAACCTCCACATTGATTTCGCGCTCCTGCTTGATGGCAAAGATGACATAGCGATGCTGCTTCAGCTTGCGTATTTCCTCGAAAATGCCCTTGCACTCGGTTGACACCTCGATGCCTGAAGCCATGTTATTATGTCAAGTTGCTGCACGGAATACAGCCTCTGCGTTAGTCGATGTTAGATGCAGCTGTACAACATATTATCCAAGGTGGCTCTCTACACGCTACTCGGACTACTCACCTGTTTCGAAATTACTGAAGAAATATGTATTGCTTTATTTGAAATTTGTGTGGTTACTCAAAATTCCTAGAAATCTCGACTGATAGCTTCGGATTCCATGGCGCCCGGGAATGACATTGATGGCAAGCCAGCCAGAGCCAGCTGTGTGGCCTGCCATCTGAGCAGCCTACTACTGCCTCTAGATTCCAGCTAAATAGGCTAATAGCCTAAATGTAAGTAAATCCTGAATACTCTGTATCTCAGACTACTTTTCACAGGCTGAGTTCATTCTGAGGACTGTGAGTGGTTTGAGGTGGCACGTGTTAGTTCTCATATCTCCTCTTGACGTAGTACAGAGTATTTGCTAGCTGGGCACTTCCCGCTAAAGGTCTTCTGATAATCCATTCTATATTAGAGTGTTTGAGCAGCATTAGCCAATTGAATCCTTCCATTGACTAAATTGATTCGAATAAATTTGAAGCGCTTTGAAATGTGTCAACAAACGACGGCTGGCTGCAACTATATGCCCCTGGCTGTGGCAAGCATGTCGAGTTGAGTGAGCCCCAAAACTGTTGTCGGCAATAAAATGCTCCATTTGGCCCAGCGTCTGGCGGTCGCGGATGCAGAGGCAACAGCAGCTGCACTTGATGTTGACGCGGCCAATTGTTTTGTCGCACTCATGCGGGCAGAGGCAGGCAGAGCCAGGCAGGCATGCATGGCAGGCAAATACAGCTGAGTTTATGTGGGTGGCTGGCAACAGCATCCGAAGCGACAAGTAAACAAAAGCCCTATCAAATGAGTGTGTGGCAACGTGCAGCTATGTGAGCACTTAGCATAAACTAAGTATTTTATGTGAAAGTTTTTTTGGCAAGGTATCTTATAGCAAGTAAATGCAGACAGCTGCAAATATGCAAATATGATATCTGCCGAATGTCTGAAAACTTATGCTGCTTGCCGGCAGCAAGTTCAGCTTGCCACCAAGGCCAAGCTTCACATTGATTGGCTTCTGCAACGCAATATCCCAGCCAAGCCAGCTGCGTGGCTGCATGAGCTTGAGTGTAAGGCAATATGAAATTAAAATTGCGGCCACAAGATAACTAGATAATCGAACTGCAACCAGGTAACCAACTGCATTTGTCGAAAGTTGATAGTTCATAGCTGTCTAGTGTACCCACAAATATTACGTATACGTAGCCTAGCCAAGATATCAAGTTGTAAGCGAAGTTTCCATTGCCTGCATGAGAGCAACGAGGGGGTAATCAGATGTTGCTTCCTGTTGCCTGGTTTTGCTTTTCTGATTTAAAACGTCAATTAAGGTAAGCAGGAATTAAATATTTGCGCTGCAGTTGCGTGTTATTCCGTTGAAATTCAATATCTTTGTCGGTCTCATGCATATTTAAGCAATTTCTATGCTTTTTTCTCGGCTTTTTGTTTGTAATCAACATGCGTGGCTCATACAGGGCGCGTATGCCATTAACAGCCACACCAATTTGCCAGTGCCAATGCGAAATTTGAGCCGCTCCGAGGGCGCAGCCGTGTGGGCCGTAAATTAAATACAAAGTTAAGTAAAATACACTTGAGGCAGCAGCACAGCGCAGAATGGAAAACCAAATGACACTGATAATCTTCAGCTTGGTCGACGCCCTGATGCTCTGTAAACTAATGTGCAAATATATAAACACTATATATTTATATGTTTCTTTTGATAAATGTATTAAATTGTCAATTGCTTGCCAAAGAAATAGCAGTGAAATATATATAAATATAAAATATATAGAAATATATAAATATATATATATAAATGTATAAAATAAAGCAGCAAAGAAGTCTAGCCAAAGCATTATTAAGTTATTTATAAAAAAATATATTATTTATTATATTTTGTACCATTTTGGGAGCTGAAAAACCTTTGTCTATGCTCACACTGCTCACTACTGGCCGTTAGATGGCGCCAACATTTTTGACACAATGGTGCTCATTGAAATTGTGAAGTATTCAACATTTCGCACTAATCGCAAGTTACGAAATGCATAAATATTAAATATACTTTCTATTTTTACATCGCCCAACAAGAACTGGTAACAAATTCTTTTGATCTATAAGCAACATTTAAGCAGAACTAAGACTTCGCGTCGGCAGATATTTTAATGATAGCAAGCCACTTTTTGGCTACAGGGTAAGTAATGTGTACAACGACAAAGAAAACACGCCTAGACTAAGACCTGTTAAAAACAGGAAACCATGCAAATTAGAGTATTGAGGCGAGGAAATTTTGCCATTTCTCGTGTATTAAAAGACAACTTGAGCTTCATATTTGCCTTCATAAGGAACCTAATGCGCGCCTATCCAGTTGCATATCCAGCCTGTTGCCAGGGTATCGCAGTGTATGTCATTTGGGGCTGGCAACAACAAGTTATGGGCATTAAAGACCGCGAGCTGCTAAGCCGCCCTGCGGCCACTGTTCTGGGGGGAGATTTCGTTTTTATTACGCGTAAATGAAAGACATTTGTTGTTGGATTTGGTGTGGGCGTCGGGCGTGGCGGGGTATTCAAAGTCGGTAATGAGGTTGGAGTCGCCTCCCCTGAGCGCCGCCTGCAGTGAAAACTGCGCGATTTAAATCGTCGGCCCAACAACGGACTGCGGTTGGGCTTGTGGAGTGCGATGCGGAGCGGTGCGCTTGAATCTTAAATGCTTGTGATTAACAAGTAATCGAAACATCCATAAGCACATCCAGACACAGCTCTGTGTGTTCGTGTCTTGTTTTCTGTTTGCTGAGTTTTCAATTAATTATACTGGCGTTATTATTCATGCGTCTTCATGCTAATGAACCCAAGCAGCAGCCATGGCTCGGGCACTCGGCTGCTGTTTAAGGTCAAAGTTCAGGCAACGGTTTAATTGATTCGAGACATTTGTTTTAAACAAAAGCAAACAACAAACATAATAACAACAATATAGATGCTATTTGCTTTCGGGCATCAATTTAATTTGCTCCTCTCTCCGTGTGGGCGTGTGCATGTCCGTTAGCTAACACACACTTGAATTGGCAAACAGGACTTGAAATTAGTTTTTGTAATTAAATTCAAATAATTGCAAATTGCGCAGCTGCCTGTGAATGCCCGTAATGTATGAAAATACCCAATTGCGAATTTAGTGCGCACCTTCATGGCTCGTAATTAAGCCAAATTCAATTGGCTGCAGACACAGCCCGAAAAGCTGGCAGCAATCTAGGCTGCTTAGTTCGTTGGCTCTTAGAATGCTCTGCGTCCTGCAGATCCCCTTTGGGTGTGTGCATACTTATAAAGCGCTTTTGCATTGCAGTTTGCCAGCTTGGGCAATATTTTATGAATGTCATCGGACTTGTCATTGTCGATGTTGCACGTTGTACGCTGCACGTATTGCACCCCGAGCTGAAATGGTCAACTGTAGCGCCAGCGGCAGGTTGTAAAGCTCGCGCTTGGGCCAGGACCCCATCCCTGGCTCAACAGCAGACAAAAGAAAATGGAAAGCGGGTCTAACGATAGTTTTTCTTCTGCTTTTGCCTTGAAAAGTCTCAACGACGACGACTTAGTCGTTGAAAACTTTGTGCGACACCAAAATAAAAGAGCAAAGTTTGCCGTAAAAGTTGAGCTCATGGCAAATGACACCTGGGCAAGTTCTTGGACAAGGATTGCAATGAAAAGCAAGCTAAATTGCAATTGTCGGGAGTGCTGGGCTACAAGATACCCAGCCTCTGCCTGCTTGTCCTCGAGGGCTTATAGTATCCACAATTGGCAAATGAATTTGAATTGATTCGAATGGATTCATTCATGCATAAACTCTTCCGTCACTTACACATGCTTGTCTGCAATGAATATGCCCGATTAAACCTTTTTCCATGCATAAAAAATGGCTCAAAGAGCAGAGTTTGCAATGGGCGTGGATGCACTATGCACACACACACACACACGCGCCTGTGTAGCCGTGCATGTAATGGCTGCAATGGTGCAGCAGTGGAGGTAAATTTACTTACTTGTTGCCACTTTACAACACTTTTCTACGGTTATTTGTTGTCACTGTTGCCATCTCTGTTTCTGCCACTGCCACTGTCTCCGTCTCTGTCTTTGCCAACCATTGTCGCCGCCTGCCTCTGTGGCAAGTTGGTAATTAATGCCTACGGTCTTCGGCTTGCCGTGAGAAAATGCTTCACTCCCAACAATAACAGCAGCAGCTTAAGTGCATTGCAAATGGTTGCAAAAGTTCATAATGAAGCTGTGAAAATATATAAAAAAAAAATAGTTAAAAGCAGAGCAGCTCACCTCTATGAGATATTTTGGTAAATGGATGGATCTCAACGAGCACTTGACTGGATGTTCTCATGTCTGTCGTTAAAGGGAGAGAGAGAGAGAGAGAGGAAAAGAGGGGGAGAGAGAGAGAGGGATGGATATAGAGAGGGAGGCAGAGAGAGAGAGATAGAAAAAAAATATATATATTTATAGATAGAGAGAAAGAGAGAGAGAGAGAGAAACAGACAGAGAAAGTGAGAGAGAAAGAGAAAGAGATTTAAAGAGAGAAAAAGAGAAAGAGATATAAAGAGAGAAAAAGGTATAGAGGGAGATAGAGATACACATATACATATACAGAGAGAGAGAGAGTCAAAACACTTCCAAGCTTAAGAGCGCTCACAATCTGAGCACTCCAAGTGGCTCAGCACCTGGGTATATGCGCATATGAATGACCCGCTTTAATATGCGTAACCCGCAGCAATTTAACACTCGCAATACTTACTGGACACACCTCGTACATGCATAAAAGCATTTCAGAGATATATTTTGCGCATTCTCACTTCTTGCTTTACACTCGATTTCACTCCTCAAACAGTGCAAGTGATTCGAGATTGTTTGCAAGTGGGAAGCTCGTGAGGCTTCAGTGTTGACATTTTAAATTGTTTTAATTAATTATTGTTAAGCCGTAGTTGAGCCTTTGCACTCAAATTTTGATAAATTAATGCCGCTTAATTGCATTCACCTGGCAAATTTGATATTACAGATCAAAGTGAATAAATTATGAGAGCAGCTCATGATTTATCCAAAGTAATTGGCAGCGTATGCCAGAGGAAATGGTGTGGCGGCGGTGGGTGTTGTGGGTGTGCGGG